GCATAACGGTTCTTTTCCCTTTTGCTTTTGTTGGACTTTTTCCATGCTTGCAGGTGTTGGGGGAGTTGTGACAATTCCCATTTCCATTAATGTTTTGGAAGGAACGGTTTTGGTTACCCCCTGCTTAGCCAATTGCTCAGAAGCATCCGGGTACTTGAAGTGATACTCGTTCCCGCTCCGGGTTACAAAGGCCTCCTGTTCATCTTCGGAAAGCGAAAAGGCTGGAATCCTATCGTCATCTTCCCCTGGAATAGCAGAAGCTCCATAACAAGACTTACCTTTTCCTTTTGACTTTTTCTTGGAAGAGGCTCCAGTCCACTGTTCATCTCCAATTAAATCGGGATGAACCCAAAGAATCTCACCATTCGGGGCTGTGTGTGGCACAAGTCCTTTCTGCCACTGTTTGTGAAGATCATCGTTCACAGTTTTCACTGCTGCATTTATTACCGGTTCATGCTGGAACCAGTTCAAGGGAACAGAACCGAAGCTAATCGATACTGCATTCGCACCCACTTTCTTCTCCTTAGGTTGCTTCATAGTGATGACCTCGACATCGATTAGAGCTTGGATCTTATCTTTAAGGGCGTAGCATGCCTTGGTAGGATGGTGCACCGCTCTATGAAATGCAAAGTATTTTGGATCGCTAATTCTTTTAGCATCTTCCTGATCTTGGACCGGAGGCAATTTGACCTTATTGTTCTCTATAAGGTATTTAAAAATGACAGGAACTTCATCCTCTTTGAACGAGTAAACCTTCGGGAATTTTGGTTCCGAAGTTTTCTGTTTCTGAGGCTGCTGTTGCCACCTTGATTGTTAAGGCGCCTTCTGTTGTTGTTGCGGTTGTGCTTGTACTTCGAACGTTTGGTTCGCGTCCACCGCATTTGCCTGTGCCTTTCCTTTACCTTTAGGAACAAAGTTCTGTTGTGGAACATTATTTGCCGCTTGACCCCTTTCAGTCTTCTTCCTTTTAAGGAATCTTTCGGCTCGTTCTCCTCGCACTTTTAAATCTTTCCAAGTCTTTGGTGGTGCCATTCCCATAGCTTCGAGGATGTCCAACAAAAGATTATTGTGACAAGTCTCGAGGATGAAGTCTTCACTGACCGGATCCCTGCAGTTCATCGCTTTGTTCCGGAATCTCTTGACGAAGTTTTCAACCGTCTCACCATTGTTCTGTTTCTCGTCAAATAATGTACCGATTGAAACCTCAGTGTCATCGTCGAAGAAGTTCGTCAAAAACGTATCCTCCATGTCATCCCAACTGTTGATACTCCTCGGCTTAAGACGACGATACCAATCGAAGGTTGCTCCTCGAAGAGTGCCTACGAATGACCGCACCATTAAAGGTTAATTCCCGGAGATTATTCCTAAGTGAGACTTAAAATATATTAAGTGTTGGGTAGGGGAACCCTTTCCATCGAACGGCGTGAAATTGATCAAATTGAATTTCGCCGGGTATGGAATTGATTCCCACTCCCTTGGGTATGGACATGGTATTCCGGACCTCTTCACTTCTTGAGCACTCATCAATGCGTTGATTTTGTTCTCCAAATCCCTCATTTTCTTATCCTCACTCGTATCTGTCTTCGAGTGGTTTCAGGGAGAAGTGACGTGGTCCTACTTCGTATTGTTATCATCCGAGGGGCCACTTCCATTATTGTTGTTAACGGGAGGGGTGTTCATGTTGGCATTATCCTCTACTTCTCGTTCATCATCATCTTGGTTCGGATTATTGCGACGACTAGACTCTCCTTGATGAGTTGTCAGTGCCGCGATTTGCTGGTCATGCATTTCTCTCATCTGCTGCATGGCCAATTCCATTTCAAATTTAAAACTGTCTTTTTGCTTGTTTAGAGCGTCCTCAAGAATCTTAGCCACTTGCTCGGAGCTAATCATGAGTGATTCGTAGGGTTGTCCTGCACTTGATGCGGTGTCATCTGAAGCCATCGCTGAGCAAGCATCCGAGCAAGCATCCGAGGTTTCATCATCTGAAGGGAGCCCCTTCTGCAGTCTCTGGTAATCCCTTCGTCTACTGGTCCCCGATCGCAATCAAGTTATACGTTGGGACACCGCGGCAAACTGATCCGGACTAAAGTGTCGCGTTGATTTCCCTCTCCCGGTCATATTGACGGACACTTCTGGAAATTCCTCTTCTTGAAGAGCAGGTTTCCCTCTACGGTAGTGTCTTGGTCTGACCTCGGACACTTCTGGAAATTCCTCTTCTTGAAGAGCAGGTTTCCCTCTACGGTAGTGTCTTGGTCTGACCTCGGTCGTTCTGGTGGAGATTCTCTCAAACACAGAAACTCTTCGTGGGGCTTTGGAACAGCAGCATTCTGATAGCACTGCCTTGATTATGTTGGCACACGGACAGCGAGAATCCATGTCTCGAACGTTTCTCTTCCGAGATTTATTCGTACCCCCGGCCCTATAGTACAACTCGTCAGTTTGATAACTGGAGCAACCTATAGAGTGTTGGCACGACTTCCCAGGTATAACATTATCGTCATCAGACAAATGTGTTTCCCTCTGGGGATACGACGCTTTATTGGCGTCTTCAAAAGTCGCTCGTTCAGGTTTACGCTTTTGTGAGCCTGAAAACCTAACGGGCTCTTGAACTTCAACCCGCAATCCAATGCGGTCGGTAACAGGGGCTTTCCCTTTATTAACTTTCTTAGGGGGATTGGTTCGACCCCTAGTCTGGTTTGTTGTTTGGGGACCTTTCAATGGTCCCAATCGCTCCTTCACGGGTGCTTTACCTCGATCTTCCGGTAAAGGACCGAGGCGACCTTTCAAAGGAACTCTGGACCTTGTGGGACCCACGTTATTACCCGGCTCCGTCGGAGGTGCAGGAATGGCGGAAACGGGATCTGGATTTGAAGAAGGCTGGACGGCAACTCCGTCCACTTTTGTCTTAGGTGCTGGTTTTGCCTTTGGTACCCACACCTGCTTGTGTCTAGGCGGCTTCTTGACCGTCTCTTCTTTTTGCATCTCTTCCGCTCTCTGTAGAAGGACTCGGGCATGCACGAGCAATGCGCGGCGTTTCTTGATTTGCTCTTCGAGAGTGGAGCGAGTCTTCTTGACGCGGACCCATTCGTTCGTCTCCACCTTAGAGGAGAGGCTGGCGGTTCGCCGTTGCTGTTCTTGGTGTTGCCTTGATTTCAGATCCTCAGTATAGCGGATCCCGTCCATCGACTCTGAAGCCTTGGCCAATTGTCGTGCAAGGCGTTGACGCCGTCTTTGGCGCGCCCTCTTCGACAAAGTCAGAGCGCCTTCAGCATTTATCTTCACGGCGGAGGGGAGGTCCAGATCTGCGGCTTCGACCTCTTTGGATGCCGTAGGGACGTCGCGGTGCGTAGGTGCAGCGGCGGCGAGTGGATCTCGGCTCTTCCACCCTGAGGTCACGCGAGCATTCCTGGAAGAGGAGACCTTCCTGCGCCTGTTTGGAGAGGCGGATCTGGAGGAGGATGTAGAATTCATTATAATATGGATTGCTTACAAAGAATTCAAAATATTCAATAAAAAAATGAAAGATTACAACTTTTCGAAAATAACGCAAGATCCGTTCGTCGTTTCTTGCTTGCGTGGGTCTTTAGCCGGTGACGGGGATGTCGATATCCGTGGATTATCTGACAGTCAGATCAGATCCAGAACTCCGTCGATTCGCGAGGGAATCTAGAAGCAGAAGCGCTTATCTCGACAACGGCGAGATAATTGCTCTTCTTAGAATTATCACAATGGGATAATCCTAAGGATCGGATGCGGGCGGTGCAGATCTGAAGAAGTTTTCTCTCCTGTGTTGAAGAACTCGATCAATCTTCGATCCGGCAGGGCTTCGCCAATTCTCCAAAAATTCAGATCTGAAAAAATGAGGCTCTAAGGCTTGTATTTATAGGCACGGGACGAAATCAGGTTGGAGACACCCTTGGGTGTCTCAACTTGGGCCGAGACACCTTGGGGTGTCTCGTTTGGGCCGAGACACCTCGGGGTGTCTCAATTCAGGCTGAGACACTGTTTTTTTGCACATTCGTCCGTTTCCGCCGTAACTTCTTCATCCGAACTCGGATTTGAGCGATCTAAAGTGGGTTGGAAAGCCGACGATGAGTTCTATAAGCTCCAATGATTATATCATCAGTTGAACAAATGAGACACGAAGGGTATTTCGCCGTTTGTGAACGATACGAGGTTCCCGATCAGTTCGTGTCTTTGTTATTCTGAAATTCCGTTGGTTTACGTAGTTCGTCGATTCACTTCAAGCGTTCACCGACATCAATCAAACTTCTGTGAACCGGATAGTGACGTTCATCGTCGTTTCTTAGCACTGAGTTGTTCGTGGAGACCTATAGGTAATTTTCGATGCCTACAACTTATTTTATAAATTATTTTATTTAAACAATCAATAGTTATAATATTACTGATAATTATAGTTATTTAGAAAGGTGAGGAAGTGAATAATTAATAAGAGGTTATATTTATTTAAAGAAAGATTAATTAGAGATAATGACATAGTTAGAATTTATCAAAATTTGAGAAGGCAAAAAAAAAATTAAAAGTTTTAACACCTCAGTCCTCTTTTTATAGTAGTATATAGAGATAATAATGTATGTATTTAACTTCCCTATAGTTGGCGGTCCTTACATATTTTGTACGTGTTGAAGAATCTCAACAAAATGACATCTATCCTTCTAGGCTTAATAAACATTGCCCATAAGATTCTACGCGTAGCATGAACAAACCTGAGAATCTTAACTTCAATAACGCAGTCAATAACATATGAATACGGGCAGAAAAGGGTGCTAATAATCAATAGGAATTGAGCTAGTCACCAGAAAAACGTCTGCCTCCTGAATCAATCTTAAACACAGTTGATCAAACTAACCCTTGACAACAACCTTGGCATTACCAGGCGTGACTTTTTGAAAATGCGGAGAGCAGTTACAGAGAACAAAGTATACCAACTCATACTCTAACGTGATAAGAATTATATAAACATAAATCTCAGCATATAAATGGAGGGCCTGAACATAATCAAGAGATTAACGTACTTTGACATTGTAAATTAACCACACTACATATATGGAAATCTCATGTATCAAACCACACTACATACATAAAAATCTCACATGAACCACAGTACATAAATAGAATGTCAAATGTCGGAAACAAACAATACATGTATCTACCGTCGATTTAGGTGAGATCCAAATGGGTGGAACATGGTACTTCATATTTAGTTTGCTAAACCTTTCAAAGGTTTGATCTCCCAAGTCATGCATGCCCGTGTCAAAAACAGACATTATTTAATCTATCTCCTCATCGTTCAATCGCACCCTTGCTATGTTTCTATGTCCTAAACCACGGTCTGTAAAATATATGCAATTTGGCTTGCATCCTTGATGCTCAACCGCAGGTAAACAAAGTGAATAGTTTTGATCCAGAAACAAAGCTTGCTTGATCACCCGAACTTTCAATTTCGACCCATTCAAAGTAGAATTGACCTCTCTTTGGGGCTCTGTTGTTGAGGGTGGCATAGCGATGGCCTATAGGCTTGACTGGCTCATCGTCAAGTTCCAGCTTGTACATGTAAATGTCAATCGTTTGCAACATAACTTCATCATCTTCATACCCTTCATATGCGGGATCATCTCCATACACGACCCTTACAACTTGCAGCAGGTCTCCATTTGTCTCCATACACGACCCTTACAACTTGCAGCAGGTCTCCATTTGTCTACTCAACGAGATATCTCTCAACGCCAATCAACAAGTCCGGTGAATTTGCAATTTTTTTATCACCTGCAAAATCATAAACAACTTCCATCCCCTCATAAGTAACAGCATAAACCTGACCCTTGTACTAGATGACATCTAGGATGTGCATCGGGAATCCTCCACATTAGTCCACTTGCCATCTCCGACCCTACAAAACGATAACACATGGAAATTGGAGATGATCGCCATGGCTAATATGCAATCATCATCATCGTTGTCTAATTTTCTCCTTTTATTTGAAGGATCTGACGATATAACGGCCTCCTCTACAAACCCAAAATCATTGAATTCACCACTTCTGAAACCACCCTTAGGATGTTGGAATGTGTTGAGAGATGGGAGAGGGATTTGGGCCCTTGTTAATGGATTCAATAGGTGAATGTCCCGTCCCCGAGTATCCACCGTGAACAACCAACCATGACGGGATCCAACAATCCACTTATTTCTCATCTCTGGCACAAGAAACTCTCCGCAATTTCTTTCATCAGAAACAAAAATGAAGTTGATATTTTCCCAGTCATTATCATGACACTGCATTAGCAATGGTAGGGGAGGAGGTTTACTTGGAAGAACACATAGAGACAATGGTAATTTCGATGGAAGCAAGTGAAGGTTGTCTCTAACGATGGTGCACAACTTCCTACAAACAGCACCAAACCGAATAATGTCTGCATGATCAACTATCTTTTCAGCAATTAGTTGCAAGATATCAATAGGAATTTCATCCAGTGAGCCCATTTATACAAATACCATTGGTGATTAAGATAAATTTGTAGGGCACCCTTCAAAATCCAAACCCTTTATACATAACAAAATTGAAAATTCAACCCTAATAAACTATTGGATTCAGAATAGTCTCCAGTTATTCAGTATCAAACAATCTCTTATGAATGTTTTTTTTCCAAGGAACATACTATTCATCAGCATGGCATGCCCATATTGTTCTCCTACTTTTTAGTTTGCAGCAGATCATCAAATTAGATATAGACATGAATAAGGTCCATGTCAACCTAAGTATTGCTTTGTTTGAGGAAAATTAAAATCAAGCAATGTAGAAAATGATAGACAAATTTAGCTACGGAATTCTACATTTGCTTCAAAAAGAAAATTTAAAAGAAGATTAGAAAAACAAGGATAAAAACTGAGCAATATAACTATGTGAGTTAAAACAAAACTTAAATATACAATGGATTTGGAAAGCTCCAAAAGCTCTAATTTCAGAAGAATGTACCTTGTATTACATAATTTATATGCATATAATAATTTCAAAGTTAGATCACTAAAACAAAACAAAAGCGACCCCAAAATAAATGAACTATAGACAACAAAGCTTAAACAGACACATTAGCTAGAATTCTACATTTGCTTCAAAAAGAAATATCCAAAGAAGATTTTTTTTTTTAAAAAAAGGCATGAAGGACAAGGGCTGTTTGTTTGCAGTTTTTGCCTAGGTAAGATGGTTGAAAGTGTTGATACATGGGATTTATTGTCAGTTTTCCTAAAATAATATTGTTTGGATGTGCATGTAAAAGTGTGAGGTGGCAACATTCAGTTGACTTGTTTCCGGAATGTCTGTCAATTTCCCCCAAGATTCCCTAATATGGTCAGAAAAAAGCTGACATAGATGTCAGAAATGGGAGCATAGAAGGAGAAATTAGATATTGGGCTTCACGGGTGATGGGCTTAAGGGGAAAGCTTCCCATAACCCCCTCTTAAGTTCACTTTGTTGCTACGAAATAAGAAAAAAGCTCACTTTGTTGTGTATCATGTTAATAAAATGACTCTTGTGAATTCACCCACCATTAGAATAGAAAATTGACCTCACTTGCACGTTCACGATGAAGTACTATAAGATAGGATCTATGAAGCACGGACACACATAACATGAAGCCGTGTCGTGTTGTGTCCGTATCGGACACACATGTCGAACACACGTATCCTATGTATTTTTTAGGATTTGCCTCGTGTCAGCGTGTCGGATGGCCGTGTCGGATCCGTGTCCGTGCTACATAGGATAGGATCATTTGCATTTAAATACTCCAAACTTTACCTTATTTTTAACTTTGACAATCTATAAAGTTTTCTTTTGCCCAGAAAATACCCGAAGGTTAACAAAATTAAATTTAAGACACCCCAAAGGCTTTTTGCCCAAAGAATACCCTCAAATTAAAATTTTAACTTTAATATCCCAAATTTAAATCTTTTGTAAAAGCTGTGAGCTATCATAGTTAAAATTTTGCTAAAGTTTGAGGTATCAAAGTTAAATCTTGTTGAACTTTTGGATTTTGTTTTTTATGCAAAAATAAAAAAAAAACTTTGGGATATCAAACTTGGTAAATTTTGGGCTATTAAAGTTAAATTTAGAGTAAACTTTGGGGGTATTTAAGTGCAAATAACCCTACTATCAATTTGGTTCTTAAAATTTTTATTTTTAATAGAAGTAACTTTATTATGGTAATATGATCCTTTCGAATGGGGTCAACACTATTAATGCTTTCCACAAACCTATTATGTAATCCAACAAGGTGTTTTTATCATTTTAGGATTCATAAGAATTCCTAAACAAACAAAGTAAAAGCTCAAATGGAAAGTAATGAGGTGGATGACCACTTTCCATTTGCCATCATAAATACCCAATTTTACACAAAACATCCAAATAGCCCCTAATCAGTAGAAGCGTAGAATCATGTAACAATGAGGTAAAACAAAATTTATATAAAATGGATTTGAAAAGCTCTAAAAGCTTATATTTTAACAGAATGTTACTGTATCACATAAATTCATATGCATAAAATAATTTTAAAGTTTGACCAGTAAAACAAAACAAAAGGATAACTGATCTAAACACACACATTAGCTAATGAATTCTACATTTGCTTCAAAAAGAAAAGGCAAAAGAGAATTAAAAAAAAGGAGAAAGACTGTGCGGATCGGTAACCTATGTAATCGCTGAGTTTAAATTTTTTAAATAAACATTGGATTTGGAACAAAGCACCAAAGCTTTTCAAAACAATGTATCTTGTATTGTATTACATAATTTATTAATATGCATAAAATAATTTTTACGTTTGACCAGTAAACAAAACACAAGGGATCATTAAAAATAAAAACTATAGACAACAAAACTTAAAACGAAGTTTCCCCTTAAAAGGTTGCTATGTCTGGATAAAAATACCTACAACATAACTTTAAAAAAAAAAGTGTTTCACCTTGTTTGTGATTTTTGGTTATCCAAAATAAAATGTTTCTCTCTATATGTGACAATTTATATGAAAATCAATCAAAATTTATACTTTTTAGCTTACAAGTATTATTTTATATCAAAACATTAGTTATGGTTAATCAAAACCAACAAATCGTAAGTAAATAAATTTTAAATGCATGCACCACAATTTTCAACATGGAGTTAAGAACTTATGCCTCGTTTGGTACGCATGAATGAACTCAAATGAGAATGGAATGGAAGGAATGGAATGGAATGTATGTGGGAATGAAATGCACATTCCCATTCTTTTGTTTGGGTGCATTTGTAGAATGAAGCTAGAATGAAAATCTCATTTTCATTCCCATATTTAGTATCATTAGTTCACAAGTGAGAATAAATCTAATTTTCTAATAATGCCCTTACAACAACATAGATTTTTAAAAAGATAAAAATAAACATTAATAATAATAACTAAACAAATTTATTTTTAAAAATAAACTTTATAAAAATAGTCAATATTTCATGTTTTTATCCTAGAATCTATTTTCCTATATATGCAAGCCTAAGGAAAAACATCTTAAACAATTGTTCATACATATCCATGTTATTAATCTGGTTATGTCACTTAATGAGATAGGCTTTTTAGATTTATTTTTGTTATCAATGGGGTGTAATTGGAAATTACGTAACTCATTTGATTCTCACTTGAATGGGTATGGCCATTCCTCATCAATTCACTTGGAATGCTCATTCCCACAAAAAAGTAGGAATGAGCATTCCTTGAAAATGGGCATTCCAACTTCTAAAAAATGGTTATGTTTGGTTTGAGGGAAAGAGAAGTGGGAATGACCATTCCATTCCACCCCATTCCCGCATACCAAACGAGACATTAGAGTTCCAATTAGGATTGCTCATAGGAATCACAACAACTGCTTCATCACGTGAAAGAATTTGGAACGTGATCTGGATTGGGCTTATAAAGGCCTTTTCCTGTACACTTGCTTTGGGCCACTTGACTCAAATCAACATAAAATGGAGTTTCCCCTTAAAAGGTTGCTATATCTGGATAATGCAACAAAACTTAAAAAAATATGTTTCCCCTTGTTTTTTATTTTTGGTTATCCAAAATAAAATATTTCTCTCTATATGTGACAATTTATATGAAAATCAATCAAATTTATACTTTAGCTTACAAGTATTATTTTATATTGAACAAACGTTATGGTTAATTGAAACCAAACAAATTGTAAATAAATCATAATTAAGAAGAAAATAGGTGATTTTGTTAGAAAAACAAGAGTACCACGTATAATTTAAATGTTTATGAATCAATTAAACTATCAAATAAGAAAAAGTTGATCTCACACGGAAAAAAAAACCAATCTCTTTTGCAACGAATATAGAGAGAAAAGCATCAACATATAATTCACACAAACACAATAAAATTCACAACAACGATGAACGATAGAAAAACTATTCATGCATCCTTAGGAATCAATGTCTGGATCTAACAAGAAAAGAATTACTTAAGTGGAAAAAAGATAGATCTAACAACTAAGATACAATAAGAAGTTCTTTGGGGAAAAAACATAATTTTGTTCATACCTGACAACCAATATGGAAAAGATTGCAACTTCAAATGAATCTTTAACATCAAAATAGAATTGAGATTAAAAAAAAATTGGAAAAAAAAGACGCGCCTTTTAAGAATTTGAGGCTTTATAAAACGGTTACTCGGATTCCTAGCTAATGTGTCTGTTTAAGCTTTGTTGCCTATAGTTCATTTATCTTGGGATCGCTTTTCTTTTGTTTTAGTTATCTAACTTTGAAATTATTATATGCATATAAATCATGTAATGCAAGATACATTCTTTTGAAATTTAAGCTTTAGGAGCTTTCCAAATCCATTGTACATTTAAATTCTGTTTAAACCCACACAATTATATTGCTCAGTTTGTTTGCTTGTTTTTTATTTTATTTTTAATTCCTAGCTAAATATCAGAAGGCCATAGAACAGGACAATCAAGATTAACTAGATCGTTGGTTATTATATTTATCAGTGTAATTGGACGATCATTCCTATGTTTTAATTGCTTGGATAGCTAGTCGTGTAATTAAATGATAATTGGATCATTAATCACTCCTGATGTTTTCCGTCAATTAAAATGACGTATTTCAATGGTGTGACATAAAAAAGTCTTAATCATTTGATATAACAAAGTTATTCATATTTCATATATTTAGCATCTTCATCACTTAAGAGAAATAAAAATTTGTGATGTATCGATTGGACAACTTGTTTTAGATAACTATATTGAATTTGGCATTTTATTTTTGGAAATATTAACTTATGACTGATTAAGTAAGTTGCATAACTTGTATTGCTAAAAAATGAATGAAAATATACAACTTAAATTGACAAAAAAATTAGAAATGACTAATAATCCAATTAGTATTTAGTTACACGACAGATCATCCAAGCAATTAAAACATATGTATGAAGGTCAAATCAGTAGATAAATACAATGATCAATGATCCAAATAACCCGGACAATCTTGTATTAAGGACTAATACAATCATAGATCAAGGAGCTGGCAACAGAAAAATCATGACTAACAGTTCTAAATTAAACCCTAGAATAAATTATTCCGCCAAAACTTAAAACCCTAGAATTCAAATTATAAACAAAATTATACTAAGAAAAGAGGGATTTAGACGGGACTTACGGAGATTCAGCAACTCGAAATCGATGGCGGCGAGTAAATCTCAATCTATCGAAGATCTCGAGAGCAGCAGCCAGAGAGACAGAGTGGAAAGCTCTAGCACTCTCTATAGCAGAGAGAGAAAAAAGAGCGCCCTATTGCATCGTGAAGCTGGAACTATATAGTATTTTGGCATATAATAATTTTTAACATATAATAATTTCATTATTTCCATACATATACCAATATTATCAAAAGTATCCTCCATATTTCAGTATTTGCATAACTACCCTTTAAATCTGCCAACTTTGCAAAGGTAACCCCCCCCCCCTCCCCCAAAAAAAAATCTAAAAATCATCAACTTCTTACAATGTAAAATTATCAGTAATATAGAAAACGTTTTGCTCATTGTATCCGACCAACTTAATAATTTGCTGGTTTGGGGGTTGTAAGCATAAAAAAATACCTATAGGTTTCCGGATATAGCTCAAGACGAAAAGAAGACGAGGAACGTCGATAGTCAAAGAAGATAATCTAATACCAAGGACCAACCAAGGAATGTGCAAAACACAAAACAACGAAAACAATGGGGACCCGAAGTTGTCTTAGAAACGGTGAAACAACATACAGTTTCCAAGACAAGGAAGTTGTCTCGGAAACTATGAGACAACACATTGTTTCTGAGACACGGAAACTGTCTCGGAAACTATGGGATAGTGTAACACTCTTTTGGATGGTTTTCTCGACTTTGGTGTAGTCCACATGGCTTTATAACCGCTTGGGATCATCCATAAAAATGGGAAGGCCGTTGCAAACTGAAAATCCGCCCATAACTATAGAAATAATAGCATTTAAATGGATAGATGTCGGTTACAAAACAGTCTGGAGTAATCCCTTCTTTCGAGACAGTGAACACTGTCTCGAAAATAGGAGTTGACAGATAAGGTTTGTTTCGACTTCTTATCTTCAGAAACGATTCTCAGGGGCTATAAACACGTCCCCTACACCCTTGTGCATGAGGCACCGTTTTTAAGGAATCCTCAAAGTCTTTGGTGTTTCCTCGAGATCTAAGCTTTGACTTGATCTTGAGAAGAGTGTTTTATCTTACCTGGTTGAGATATACACTTCTGTCCTTGTTTCTAAAACGAAACATCGACTCCAAGCCTTCTTCGAATCAATCTAGATCTGTGACTCGGTCGTCCACGGACTAACGTGTCCCCGGCACAGGCAAAGATCCCACGCAAGCAGAGTCTGCTCAACAAGAGTTTCTGCATGTGTTTCTAGGAGATTATCTTTTTATTTCTTTTGTGTAAGAAAAGTCATATAAAAAGACTCCTTCTTTTGAACTTATTGTAAATGATAAACGTTGTAAATGAGTTCCGTAATGAAATCGATTTCCAAATACGCTGGCAACCATAGTGGGAACCAACGGTCTCACTGCTAAGATCGTTGTGTAGTAATCAATCAAGATCCCGGTTGAATCCACGATCGAGTACGAGTTTGACCAAGCAAAGTTTGAGGAGTATCTGTCATCCTCCTCCTCCTCAAGATCTTCCTTGTCTCGTAAATGCAGTAATATTTCATCTTCAAAGAAGATTTTTAGGTCTTCCACCCCGATGAAGGCTACTGGTGATGACTCTCACCCAATTGTTGCTGGGGCTTCCCCTCACAATGCTATTCCGACGATCGACAATGCCGGAACCTCTGCTCATAATGATTTCTCTCTAGTTAAGGAATTGTTGAATGAAAGTTCACCGACTTTGACAAAGAGGGCTCGTCAAAGACAACGCCAATGTCATGCTCGTCTGCTCGCCAAGGCTTTGGAACAAGTCGACAGAGTTTGCTACTACACAGATCTGGAGTCAAAGAGGCGTCGATTGATCCAGTTGCCTCAAAGGCAAACCACCGACATCTCCTCCAAGCCATTGACCGATGGATGAGTCCATGTCAAAAAGACATGTTCAACTCTTAAGGAACGCATTCAAAAGCGTCGTGCAAATTCTGCTCGTGCTCGTATCCTTATGCAAAAGACACAAGAAATGAAGAAGAAAACAGTGGCCAAAGAACCACCAAAAGCCCGCAAAGTTTGGATTCCTAAGTCTAAACTTATGCGAAAATCATGTTCTGAGATAGCGGGGACTACATCCTTCAGTCGAGACACCAACCAATATCTCGCCCAAAGGAGCCTTGGTCGAGACACCAAACAGTGTCTCACCCAAAGGAACCTTGGTCAAGACACCAAACAGTGTCTCGCCCAAAGCCAAGCCCCTGCGATCTCTTCTTCAGCTTTGTCTACGTTCGTTCCTGCTCCGTCGGCTATCGTACCACCGGTGAAGCATCACGGAAGTGTTGACCTATCAAAGTTCAAAATCACGATGATGGATAACCTTGGTCCTTTGCATGAAGATCGAGGTAAAGCTCCAGTAAAAGAACGCTTGGGTCCGAGAAATAAAACCCAGGTAGTTCCTCAGCTAGGGGGTCATACACGCCCTCCCATGAAGTCAACTACTATTCAAAGGTGTCCCGCTGCCTCCAAACCGACCAAGACACCTTGATGTACCTATTCGTGCAAGGTGCACGATAAAGACAAAGAGACCTCCCCTCTTGGGAGAATTCCTGTCACCTCTCGCCTAGGGTTTCATGTCGAAGCCCAGGAGCCTATTGAGATTCCACACTCATAAGGGGGTGGTTCCAAACGTGCGACTCCTGATGTGACTTCGGCAACGATAAATTATCCTAAGAATGTTAATAAGACTACACGTCCCCAAAGGAGGAAGTCATACCAATAACGATAGGGTGCTCCGGCCATCATGTCGATGAGTTGTACTATCATGTTAGGGGTGTGAATAAATCCTAAAAGAGGACTGTTCGAGAAAAGAGTCTTCATTCATGTGAGAGGCTCATCAGGGTAGTATCATCTGAATGTAGCTGCTCCAAGACCACTCTACAAAGGGTCTCAGTATTTGAGAGACTCTCCATCGAGGTATCAAGGCCCAAGCCAAGACGTTTCCGCAAGAGAAGGCCCACTGTCCAAGATGGTGAATTCCCAGAAGTCACTATTAACATGGCTGATAAAGGAAAGCGGCATTCAACCAATTCTGACCCTAACTTTTCCCCTGGAGGAAGAGTTGATCAAAGACTTTCTCAGAGAGTGTCTCGGCTCTAATTAAGAGCCACCAGGCGTAGGTATTACAGAAGAATGAATGAAGGGTTGTCTTCAGATGACGAACCTTCGTATGCTTACTCCGCGATCGCTTCCGATGATACAATGTCCAGCATAGGGCAAGCCAATGAGGCATTCATAATTACACCTGATCAGTTGGCTCAAATGCTTCAAGAAGCTCTGACTAAACAACGAGAAGAAATCAGAGCTGAAATGAAAATAGAGATGGAGTTGACTATGCAGCAAATGAGGGAATTACATGATCAACAACCTCATCAACAACATGAGCCGAGTCAACGGGCTGAGTCCAGCCATCGCAATACCACACCTGTTCAAACAAATGTGGTTGACAGCGACTCGGATGTGGACGAGACCATTTTTTCTGGCCCTCCTCCCAACAACAATAACACTGGGGGTGGTCCGGTAGAGCCTCCTCCACCTCCTCAGAATCGCCCGAAGAAAGATGCATGTGAGGATAAGAAGATGAAAGACCTCAAAAGCAAAGTCAATGCTTTGATGTCCGCTCAAGAGGTAAAAAAAGACAGGCATTCCTTGCCCATATCCGAGAGAATGGGAATCAATCCTGTATCCGACGAAGTTTAATCTAATTAACTTCATGACATTTGACGGGAAAGGATCACCAACCTAACACTTGATCTACTTCAAATCTTACTTAGGTATGATCTCTAGAAACAAAGCTTTGATGGTCTGATCATTCGTAGGCACCCTTCGAGGGTCCGCCTTCAATTGGTACCGCTATCTGAAGTTGGGGAGTATTAACAGCCGGGATGACATGGAAAGCTCATTCCTCAGCAATTTCTTTGATGATGACACTGAAATATCAATTGGGACTCTGGTGGATGAGAAACAGAAAGATGGAGAATCAGTCGATAACTTCGTCAAACGTTTCCAGAATAAGATAATGAATTGTCGGGATCCAGTCACAGAGGAGTTTATTCTTCAAACTTATCACAACAATCTCTCCCTGGATGTCTTAGAAGCCATAGGAGTCGTTCCTTCTAAAACCTAAAAAGAGTTAAAGATGCATGGGGAATAGGTCGAACGTTTCCTCAAGAGGAAGAAGCTTGAGAGATCAGCCAACGCCCAATCCTCCAAAGCAAAATTTTACTCCTCGAGGCAGAGGAAAGGTACTTGCAACTACCATCGATGCTCATCAAATGTCACAACGACAGCCACAGTAGCAAATGCTGCAATAGTCATCATTCCAACTGTAGCACTAAGACCATCTCCAACCCATTGCACCAAAATGGTGCAAATTTTGCATCAAAATGGTGCAAAAGTCACATCAAACAGTAATACATCTCCAACCCATTACACCATTTTTTACACCAAAAAAGAATATTCTCAGTATATTCTCACTTTATTCCCTTTTATCTATTTTTATATTAATTGAGAGGTAAAAACAAATATTTAAAAAATTTTTAAAAAAGTGAACAGTAATGGGACGGATGAACAGTGCGACGCCATATTTGGTGCAGCACTGTTCATTTGCACCAAAATGGAGCAGAAAATGGGGCTGGATTGGAGAAGGAACAGTGCAACAAAAAGCACTGTTTGCACCAAAATGGGGCTGGGTTGGAGATTGGAGAAGGAACAGTGCAACAAAAAGCACTGTTTGCACCAAAATGGGGCTGGGTTGGAGATGCCCTAAGCGCAACAATCTCAAAGGCAGTCAAGGACTTCGGAGCCCAGATTTTCTAAGGAGTATTCCTTTAAAGAAGATGAAGTATCTGCCATCTTCAAGTACCTCTTCAATAATAACAAAATCAAGCGGTCGCTAATCACAAATAAATAGGAAGTTAAGAGAACTTCGGATCTAAAGTATTGCGCCTATCATAGAAGGGTTCACCATCCTACTAAGGTTTGTTACGTTCTCAAAGATCGAATTCAAGCATTGAATGATGCTGGCATCATAATTACGAAGCCCAAGGAAAAAAGTTGGTGTAAACGTATGTTGGCCTTCTTGTTTTGATGATGTTTAACAAACAA